GCTCTATCGCACGCACACACACACACACACACACACACACACATCACCATCACGCGCTGCACCTTCAAACTGAAACTATGAGCGCATCTGTGCTTTTAGCGCCTTCTGCTGGACTCAATCACAATCTGACACCAATTAAAACTCTATACATTCTTATAGTGACTAGGTCTGTGCACAACACATACACACTATAACAAGTGCATTATATATATTATATATGCATATCCACGCAAACGCGACGTTTCATCGTAGAAGCGCGTCTAACAATGACTTTCACTTATGCTCATAACAATGTTTCTGTTTAGGGGCCTCAGGCCAAAATAAAGTGACAGCTGACGTAATGACGTGATGACGTAAAGCCAGAAGTTGTAAACTCCATGTTTTTGTCCTTCGAAAGACTTTAGCTTATAGTGGGACTGTGTGTGAATCATGATGCTGTATTATTCTGAAAATGTATTATACAGTAGAATTTAACCCATTTAATGCCACCGGTTGATAAAGCTCTAAAAACCTTACTGACTGATGTTTTAGTGCACTTCCTGCAAATATGGGAAAAACTAAAGGGTCTCAATTAAATAAGTGCAGTGTTACATATTTATATGAGTGTTGTATAAGAGTTTTTATGCATAGAAAAACCTTAGAATGTGACCAATCTAATAACTGGGCTAAGATATATGACAATTTTGATGACTGCAGAAATAATGTTAATTCAGTATACAAACACCGGTCACCTTTCCTGACCCCACCCCTAAACACAACACGTCACTCTGACGCGAGCAAATCAGGTAAGACGGTCGAAAATATATATACACATCTATGGTCGAAAACACCATAGATATGTATAGATTCCCCATTCGACCGCTCCAGGCATCTTTCGAATATTCAGTGATTACTATGGTGAATAACGTCAAGTTGACCGTTCCAAGATGGCGGACGGCTTACGTATAGCGGCCCATAGAAACAGTCGCTAATGAGGCATCTACATATATATATCTATGGAAAACACCCCTGCGTTATGGCCCCGCCCACTGATCCGGAAACTCCCATCACAGTGTTGCCAATTTAGCAATTTTGTTGCTAAATTTAGCAACTTTTCAGACTACCCTAGCAACTTTTTCTTCCAAAAGCACCTAGCAACAAATTTAGCTATTTTTAAAATTTATTTGGCAACTTTTGTTAAGTGACTCAAACGATAAAAAGGCACATATTTTCCATCTGAATAACACAAAAGGAGGAAACCAAAGATGCCTAGCAGTACAATAATCACATGAATTAAGTTAGCTGCTACTTGCAATTGTTCAATAATAATAATAATAATTAAATAATTGTTCATTTATGATGCACCTTGTTAGCTTGTACCTGTGATTGTTGATCAGTTACTCTACCCTAGCAACTTTTTCTTCCAAAAGCACCTAGCAACAAATTTAGCTATTTTAAAAATTTATTTGGCAACTTTTGTTAAGTGACTCAAACGATAAAAAGGCACATATTTTCCATCTGAATAACACAAAAGGAGAAAACCAAAGATGCCTAGCAGTACAATAATCACATGAATTAAGTTAGCTGCTACTTGCAATTGTTCAATTTAATAATAATAATAATAATTAAATAATTGTTCATTTATGATGCACCTTGTTAGCTTGTACCTGTGATTGTTGATCAGTTACCACTACACTGTAATAAAAATATCTAGAAAAATGGAAAAGGTACTAGTAATTTTCCAAGACATATCCGTTATCCATTGTAACCCGAAAACACAAAATACAATGCATAATTTAAAATGCAGGTAAAAACATGTGAAAAATCAATATGGAAAATTCCTTCATATTAACATAGTAGATTATGCCCTATTTTTACAGACTCTTCTTTCTCTTCTTGTAGCATACTAACTACTGATACTCAGCTTAAAAGTATAATTGTTCAGAATGTACAGTTTTACTAGTTTACTAGCTAAATAAAAAAAACTTAAATTGTTGAAAAATGTGTGTTTAATAATTCAATGTTGTGTTTACAAATACAGTTATTTATATTTTAATATTATAGCATGTATTTATATCATTTTACGAACAAATATAAATGAACATATATAAAATATATTTTTCCTGAGATTCGATGCTGTGACACAATTTTGCGTAGTGACGTCAGCGTGCAATGACATCCCAACATCATTATTGTTTAGCTGTACTTTAGAAGAAGCGCGAATTTCAAAAAGGCGCGCGAGTTTCATATTTTGACGGTTGGTCTGAGGAGAGTCTTCACGGTTTATCGAGCTGCCAGCTTCATTCCAGCGAGATGAAAACGACGACAGAAACCTTCAATTTTCAACTTTACTCAGGTATTTCACGGTTCTGTTTACAAACGAATGATTACACTCACGCTATCCTTTGATTTTATTTAGTCAGTATTGGTGACTCCTTGTGGTAAATTTATTCAGCTATTAATCAGCATTTACCTGCGATCTGGGTTTGTTTAAAACATTTATTTCTAACTTTAACTCTGAGACCCAAATGTGATAGATTAGTCCTCTATAGGGGATATAATTTTTTAGCAATTGTCTCTATATAGACTAACGGTCAATTTCTGTGAGATTATACATTGTTTAAAACCGTAAAGAGGACATTGTGGCTTTTTTTTAAATTATTTCAACACTATACTAAAGCTGAGTCACTTTAAGGTTTCCATCTGAGGTTATAAAGTTATGTATTCATATGTATTTTGTTCAGTTTCTGTATATAGCACATGTTGTTCCTCAGTAGCTTTACAGAGAACAGAGCTTTACAAACCCGTAGAGAAGCCAAAGTCCACTGGGGCCAGTAAAAAATGCTATTTTTGGACCAAGAATGAGGTTTTGAGTTCAGAATGTTACAGTATGTTTTTCTCATTGCATATCCTTTAATATGAACACCACTGATATTTTTGTGCTTCACCTTTTACTTGCAGATTGAAGAGTGTGTGAAACAAGACATTTGTACACAAATTATAAACATTTTTATTGTATATATTTTTAATAGAGACTTGAGTGAAAGCGTTGCTGAAGCTGTTGAGGACTCAGTGATGGACTCAAACTCTGAAGCGCCTTGAGAAAATACTTCTGCCTCACGCAGGGAACCTCGAGTCCGTCCTCACGCAGAGCCAGAAGAGCCGCCTGAGACACAGAAGAGTCCAGCTCAACAGAACAGAAGGAAATGAAGGAATGCCGTGAGGTGAGTGTGTGTTTACCTCTCTGCACAGGTTTTCTAGATCAGCTCCAGAGAAGAGCTCAGTTTGAGCAGCCAGATCCTGCAGACACACGTCCTGATGCAGCGGGACGCTTTTAGTGCAGACGCACAGCACGGCCAGACGAGCCTGTTAATGAGAACGCATGAGAAAACACCTGCTGCACACGGTACCATTTAAAGTCAGTGTGAAATCACAACTGACCTATCGGTAAGCCCCGCCCCCCTTAGTTACTGTTGCTCCCTCAGACAAACAAACGGAGCTGCTCACTGTCTTACAATGAGAGCGGTCAGTGTGAAAACCTTGTCCCTATATCTTTTTGATAAATTTTGGACACAGAAGGACCGCCATTCAAGTGCAACTTAAATATGCCATGGAGGGATATATAAAAGATTTTAAAATAAATATTGTGGGTATGAATTTAGAAGCGAGGGTTTACAGATCACAATGCAAGCGGGAGAAGCCTCATGTTACGTTCGTCATGATCGCAGATAACAACATCCCGGATCAACACTGTTCATGTATCGCAGGGTACGATTAAATTAAATTACATTTAACCGGTTTACGCTGAAACCTACAGATGTCTGAGTTCCACTCCCCGTGCAACTGATACTCGACTGCCATTGGCTCATCTGCGTTCGAGGGGAGGGGCTTACCGATAGGTCAACTGACCCTGTTAATTTTCTTAATGCATGTTACTCATCTTACTGTGAACAGTTCATCCATACATTAATGTTGAAGCATACACACTACCAGCCAAGTTTTTGAACGGTACAATTTATTATGTTTTTTTAAGAAGTCTCTTCTGCTCACCAGGCCTGAATTTATTTGATCCAAAGTACAGCAAAAACAGTACTCCAGTCTTCAGTGTCACACGATCTTCAGAAATCATTCTAATATGCCGATTTGCTGCTCAAGAAACATTTCTGATTATTATTATGTTGAAAACAGCCATATTCCAGTATGCAGCACTCACTTTTCACAAAATAATCAACAACTGACAGATAAAATTAAGTCCCTGCCCTACATTTTTTTCTTGTTCGATATCGTTTCACTCACAAATACAGTAGAAAACTTTGTTGCAACTTCTCTTTCATGCTTACTTTAAATCAGCAAATCAGGTGTGGCTTATTTTTTGAGGAAGATGGTGTGGCGGGGTTTGAAAAGAGATGATTAGATCTCATCTGATGTTAGGACCGTCTGCTCACCTCAAGATCTGGAGGTGGAACGTATATGATCTGGTCGAGTCGGCCGGGTCTGAGCAGAGCACTGTCCAGAACCTCTGGTCTATTAGTGGCAGCCACGATCAAAACATCCTTATTACACACTTCCTGGAGTTCCATCTGAAACACAAGTCACACAGAGTTAGTGTTAATAGCACTGTAAAAACCACTCTTGCATTACAGCTCAATACATGCACATATGTGACCCTGGACCACAAAACCAATCTGCTGTAGTCTGGTGTCCTCCTGCTCTCCTCCTTCTAACTGAGCCGTCTTTCTCCCGGTGCTGCGTCTCTCCACAGTCCGGATTCCCACTCCGTCCAGCTCGGTCAGCAGAACCGACAGAACCTGCGACTGCACGCTGTGAGAGGAACCGTCCGCTCGAGAGCCCACCATGCTGTCGATCTCATCCAGGAACACGAGGGAGGGAGCGCACGCACGAGCTTGAGCGAACAACTGACAGACAGACGGAGAGACGGAGAGACAGAGCTTATTTGTC